AAGCTCTATGCCTAAATATATATTTCTAGAGCAGGGTTACACTTTTAACCTTCTTTGAAGCTACCTGTGAACTAGCCCAGTTATTCTCCAGGAATGAAAGGCACTGGTACTAGGGCTTAAACTCAGGGCCTCACACTCTGATTTAGCTTTTTCACTAAAGGCTGGTGCTGTACCACTGGAGCCACACACAGCTTCATTTCTGTGGGTTTTTTATTTTGTTTTTTTAGTGCTTAATAGAAGATAAGAGTGTTAAGGACTTTTCTGCCCACACTTACTTTGAACTTCACTCCTCAAATCTCACCCTCCTGAATAGCTAGGATTGCAGGTGTGAGCTACCAGCACCTGGCTCATGAGCGATTCTTAATTCTCTTGATACCCTTCCATCTTCTAAGCATTTTCTCTCTTGGAATTACTTTGATTTTCTCAGAAAAGCTTTTTTTTTTTTGTTAGACTTTTTTTGTTTTTAGGCATTGTCATCATTTTTAGAGTGGCTGACATCTAAAAGGACATCTCTTATTTCTTTCCCTTAGGGTTGTAATCCTTTGGCACAGACTGGCCGGAGCAAGCTGCAGAATGAAAGGGCTGCTTTGAACCAACAGATCCTGAAGGCTGTGCGGATGCGGACAGGAGCCGAGAACCTTCTGAAGTAGGTGTCTCTTGACCCCACTGCTGTGGGGGAATCCTAGGCTCCCCTAAGGCCTTGTGACTACCTTTTCACCATATTCCTAGACCTGGTTCTTGGTTTCAACTTCAGGATTTCTTCTTATTTCTGGAGGCCTAGAGCTTCGTTATGTTTAAAAGATCCATGTTTTGCCTGGTACCAGTGGCTCACACCTATAGTCCTAGCTACTCAGAAGTCTGGAGTTTGAGGATCATGGTTTGAAACCAGCCCTGGGCAGGAAAGTTTGTGAGACTCTTATTTCCAGTTAACTGGATAGTACAGCTGTAGCTCATGAGTCCAGAAAGTAAAGGACAGTGCCCAGGCCCGGAGTTCAAGCTCTAGTACTGGCACAGATATACAAAAAAAGGGCAAATAACCAGGCACTGGTGGCTCATGCCTGTAATCCTAGCTACTCAAGAGGCTGAGATCTGAGGATCTCTGGTCAAGCTAGTTTGGGCAGGAAAGTCCATGAGATTCTTATCGCCAATTAACCACAAGAAAACGAAGTGGCACTGTGGCTCAAGTGGTAGAGCACTCGCCTTGAGCTGAAGAGCTCAGGGACAGCTCCCAGGCCCAGAGTTCAAGCCCCAGGACAAAAAAAAAGCGGGGGGGGGGAATATTTTGCTCATTCTGTGTATTTGGCAGATGGTAGAATTAGCAATTTTGATTCAAATCCATTTATGATCTTGGTATTTGTTTTTCCTGCTTTCTATGGGACTTGTGCTTTTCCACTGCCTAGAGCTCTGCCTGATATGGAGTCACTGGTAAAATTCATGTTAGTTAAAGAAGGAAGAGAAGGCTGAAAAGAGGAATAGGGACATTTCTGGTACCAGTGTCCACCTTTGTAATAGGCCAGGGGCATGGTGATTTATACCTGTAGTCCCAGCTGTTTAGGAGGCTGAGATTGTAAGATCACTTGAGCCCAGGAATTCAAGACCAGCCTGAAGCTAGAAGCTGGTGGCTTACACCTAGCAAATAGGAGTCTGAGATCTGAGGATCCAGGTTTGAAGCCAGTCAAGGCAGGGAAGTCTGTGAGACTCTTATCTCCAATTTACAATAAAAAAAGCCAGAAGTTAGAGGTATGGCTCAAGTGCCAGCCTTGAGGGGGAAAAAAATCTAGGGAACAGAATCCAGGCCCTTAGTTCAAGCCCCAGTACTGGCATAAAACAGCAACAACAAAACCCAGCTTAGACAACCCAACTACTCTGTGTCTCAAATAAAAAGAAGGAACAAAAGGAAAGTAATCAATGTGGTTCAGGACAGCCTGTGCTCTGGAATACTCAGTAGCCTGATGATAAAATAGTTATCAATTGCACAGCTCCATCGATAAACCTTGGCTCCTTCTGGGCAGCTGTCATCTCCTCCATACCCTAAAATCAACTAAGTATAACTGGGTCAGCTCTCTGTTCTTTCTGGAGAGTGTGGCGTTTCTTCTGCAGAATTTATCCGTGTGTGTGTGTGTGTGTGTGTGTGTGTGCATGTGCATGTGTGCATGTGTGCATGTGTGTGTGTACGTGTGTATACGCACACACAAGCGGTGCTTGCCATTGGGTCCTGCATTCAAGGCCTCATACTCATGCCTGGCTTTTTTGTTCAAGGCTAGAGCACTAACCACTTAAGCCCTAGCTCTACTTCTATCTTTGTTAGTTCATTGGAGAGATAAGATTTTCTGAGTTTTCTGTCCTAGCTGGCTTCAACCCTTGATCCTCAAATCTCAGTCTCCTGATTAGCTTTGATTACAGGCATGAGCTACTGAGTTTTGGGTGATATTTTTTTTTTTATTTAGTCAGTTGTGGTACTTGAACTCAGGGCCTGGGCACTGCCTCTGAGTTCTTTTTGCCCAAGGCTAGCTCTCTTTCACTTTGAAACACAGCTCCACCTCCATTTTTTTTTTAATTGGGTACACAAATTTCTTTTCCTCACTTTTATGGTGAAATGCTACAGAGAATAATATAAGCAACCTTTCTTTTGCTCAAGAATAACAGTGCTATAAAAAAAAATTAAAAGGAATCTGTTAGGGTGTGGAGATGTGGCTCAAGTAGAGAGTACCACCCAGGCTGGCTTTGAACTACAATATTCAGATGTCAGCCTTCTAAATAGCTAGGATGACAGGCATGAGCCATAGGTATCCAGGTAGACTTTTTCTTTAAGTTCTAGGAATTCTTGACCCAAGGGCTTTGTGCATGCTAGACAAATACCTCACACTAAGCCACACCCTAACTTTAATACAGAAGTAAACAAACCGGGTAACTGTAGGAAGTGATTTTTTTTTTCAAAAAAGTGCTGTTGACGAAACTGATAGGGTAGTTCCTGATGACTTGGTCTTAGAGACCTGAGTAGGCAGGAAGGCGTGTAGGTACTGGAGCTTGTTCTTAGCTCTGTATTCCCCTCCCCCACACACCCCTAGTGCTCTACCCCAGGAGCCAAAGCTCCACTTATGACTTTTTACTAGTTCATTAAAGATAAGAGTCTCACAAGACTTTGATTCCCTTGGGCTGGCTTGGAACTGTTGTTCTCAGATCTCAGCCTCCTAGATAGCTAGGATTACTGGGGTGATCCACTGGAGCCTGGCTGGCTATTTTTCTTGCAGGATCTGAAGTTTGTTGAACTACTTATATAGATAAAGGACCATGTGTTAGCCTCCAGGGTAATACACTGGCCTTTACTGGGCTTGTTCTTGGGGAAACAATCATTGTTTATTTTGCCTTAGTCCACAAGTAGGCTTGAGGCACTTTGGACATTTGTAAGACTTGTAAGCTTTCAAGTAGTGGGTGGGCCTGGAGAAGGAAGAATGTATGAGAGGCTTTGCTGGTGATATACTTTGTTTATGTGAGCCTTTGAGCTTCCTGGCAGCCTTAGGAAAAGGGAAAATTGATCTGGAGCACCTTTCATACCGATAGCTTGAAGGAAACGTACCCTAAGACTTGGTGAACCTGTTCCCATATACCCAGAAGGCTGAGACATTTTTTTCTTCCCTGAATTCTTGTGGGATAAGATCTACTGGTAAATCATTCCTTTTTCTTTTTTCTTTTTTTTTTCTTTTTGTCAGTAACACCTTTGTTGTACAGGTTTTACAAGCGGTAGATTGGGACCCATTTTGTGTTATGAAATCAATTCACTATGTTGCTGTGGTATAATCCAAACGTAAATATTTGGTCTTTGTTTCCTGAGTTCCTGGTCCAAGCCTCCTAAAACTCTTGTGATAAGAGTTATCTCCAATCTACTGAGACTGTGTCTTGTTGGGGAGACCTTAAGGCTAAGGACTGATTCCTCAGAAGGACTCAGCCAGGATTTAGAGGGGTTTTCACAATCTGTTCCCCCTCCTATCCTCCTTTCCAGAAGTGGGAGGGGCCTAGAGATTGAGGTCAACCACTAGTGGCCAGTGACTTTAACCATCTCGTATATCTAGGGAACGAAAGCTCCATAAAAGGCCCTAAATGACGGGGTATAGGAGTTTCTGGGCTGGGGAACATACTGGGGGTACAGGGAAGTTGGCCTGCCTGGAGAGGCCATAGGGAGGAAAGCTCTGTACACCTGTCTCTGATAGCATGCTCTGGGTATCACTTCCATTAGTCTGTCCTGGGGCTTGAATTCAGGGCTTGAGCTCTGTGAGGTTTTTCCCTCAAGGCTGGTGTTCTACCATGTAAGCCACAGCTCTGCTTCCATGGTGTTTCCTGCCCCAGCTGGCTTTGAACAATGATCCTCAGATTTCAGCTTCTTGAGTAGCTAGGATTATAGAGTCCTAAGCCACTGGTGCCTGCCTCGTTGGTCTATTCTTGGATTGAACATTTCCCCTGATCAAGAACTTAGATGAAAAGTTTCCCTCACTTCTGTGAGTCTTGCCTAGTGCTTTATCTAGTTGGTCAGTCAGAGTCTAGATGGCCCCCTTCTCTGGGACTTGTGATTGGTGCCTCCAGTGGGGACAGGACAGTTGTATTAGGACAAAGCCTTTAACCGATGGGTTAACAGAGAGTTGGGAGTCCGAATTGGATGAAGTTATTGGAAACTCAACTGCTGCTGGGAATCAGGAACAGGAGCTCTGGAAACATCAGAAAAAGAAAGAGGGAGGGGAGGAGGGAGGGGAAGGATGGAAGAAGAGAGAGAGAAAGAGAGAGAAGACCTAGCTATCTAGACACTAGTGACTCATGGCTGTCATCCTAGGTACTCCAGAGGCTGAAATCTGAGACAAGCCTAGGGTAGGAAAGGCTGAAACTCTCTTTATAGCCAAGTAACCACCAAAATGCCAGAAATGGAGCTATGGCTCAAGTGGTAGAACACGAACTTTGATTGAAAAAGTTAAGGGTCAATGACCAGGCCCTGAGTTCAGGCCCCAGTACTGGCACAAGAAAAGAAAAGAAAAGAAAAAGGACAATTTAGAGTAGAATAGAATATGTTGGAGTGCATGTGTCCCTCTAGCTTTTGGGAAGCCTTTATTTTTCAGGGATGAGTGTATGTGCACATGGGCTGCATGGGGATATAAAATGTACTAATTAGCCAAGCACTGGTTGCCTGTACTGTAACCCTAGCTTCTCAGGAGGCTGAGATCTGAGGATCATGGTTCAAAGCCAGCCTGGGCAGGAAAGTCCATGAGACTTTTATCTCTAATAAACTTCTTTTAAAAAGCAGAAAGTGGGCACACTGGCTGTACTGGACATTGATGAAAGTGAACCAAGGAATTCATGGGCAGAGACAGGAGGGAAAGAATGAGAGAGAATGGGGACACAGATGATAGTAAGCAAAAGGAAAGAAATGTACTTATTATCTGAGGTAGTAAAGGTAACCTGCTGTATATCACCTCTAAAACAACAATAAATAGTTTTTTTAAAATCTGGAAGTAGAGCAGTGGCTCAATTGGTAGAGTGCTAGACTTGAGCACAAAAGCTCAGGGACAGCCGGGCTCTGGTGGCTCACGCCTGTAATCCTAGCTACTCAGGAGGCTGAGATCTGAGGATCACGGTTCAAAGCCAGCCTGTGCAGGAAAGACTGTGAGACTCCTATCTCCAATAAACCACCAGAAAACCGGAAGTGGCACTGTAGCTCAAGTGGTAGAGCGCTCACCTTGAGCTGAAGAGCTAAGGGACAGCGCCAAGGCCCAGAGTTCAAGCCCCACGACCGACCAAAAAAAACCTACAAAACTCAGGGACAGTGCCAGACTCTGAGTTCAAGTTCTAGGACTCCCCCTCCCCCCCTCTCCACATTGTACTAATGCTTATAAGTCCTCTAAAACAACAAAAAACAAATCCAAACTCGGCAGAACAATGGTCACCAAGGCAAGTTTCCTCAACCTCATTGCCTGGTTAGGGGCTAAGTATTCAGGTATGGAAACTCTCTGAGCAGTTAGAGAAGAAACCCAGTGTCCCATACCTGTCTGGGTGTAGGAAGATGGCCAGCACCCTGCTCTCTGGATGTATGGGTGCAAATGAGCAGCAGGTTTTTATGCAGCAATGAGGGAACAATGTAGACAGACAGTCTTTGTAAGCGAGGCCCAGCTTGTGGTAGAAAAGCTTTGTATTTCCTCAGTCAGATGACAATGATTCTGGTTTATAAGTATGTGCAGGACCCTGCTGACTCAGTGCCTGGTCTTCTTATTGTTACTTTGGTGGTGACTTGTAATCTGTAAGTTGAAGGACCCATCTGCAAAGTCTTTTGAGTTGCTGTTGAAAGTAGGTCCTTTGTTCTTTTTTTATTTTTATTTATTTTATTTATTATTATTATTTTTTGGTCGGTTGTGGGGCTTGAACTCTGGGTTTGGGTGCTGTCCCCGAGTGCTTCAGCTCAAGGCGAGCCCTCTGCCACTTGAGCCACAGCGCCACTTCCAGTTTGCTAGTGGTTTTTTATTGGAGATAAGAGTCTCACAGACTTTTCTGCCTGGACTGGCTTTGAACCTCGGTCCTCAGATCTCAGCCTCCTGAGTAGCTAGGATTATAGGCATGAGCCATTGGCGCCCAACTGGTCCTTTGTTCTTATACTGCATACTCTTCCATTCTATACAGTGTTTTAGTGGTTAGTGGACTTTTCAGTTATTTGTGCTGTATGTGTGTGTATATGTGTAAGTACATGTGTACATACATATGTGTATATGCACTGGTACTGGGACTTGAACTTGGGGCCTGGACACTGTTGCTTAGCTTTTTGCTCAAGGCTGGCACTTTACCACTTAAACCACAGCTTCACTTCCAGCTTGTTGAGCGGCTTCTCTGATCACTTCTAATATTCATCTGCCTTTGGCCTCCTGAACCTCCCTGAAGGGATTGGGTTAATGTCTGTTCATCTAGGTTGCTTGACAGTGCTTCTCTCCCTCTTCTCTTTGAACAGAGTAGCCACAAACCAAAAGGTACGAGAACAGGTGCGCCTGGAGCTCAGCTTTGTCAACTCAGACCTGCAGATGTTGAAGGAGGAGCTGGAGGGACTCAACATCTCAGTGGGCGTGTACCAAAACTCAGAGTGAGTATGCCACACCCTTCCCAATGAATGTTCTTTAAGCCAGAAGTTGCCTGCATCCCAAATCTTGTGGTCCCAAGGGAGCCAGTAGCCCCCACTCTGGGCAGGGAGAGAATACTCAGTTTTCACCCATCAGAGAATCAACCAAGTGCTAGGGTATATAGGGTTGGATTTGTGGAGTTTATAGGGAGAAAACTAGAGTGTTGGCCAGACAGCCACACAGCAGAACTGTGTGTCTGGGTCCAGGCAAGGTAATGGCATCTGTTTACTTGGACTGAGGTGTTGTCTCATCTGTGAGGATACCCTGGAAAGTGCTCTGTGAACAGTTTGTGAGGTCAGATCTGCCCCATGGGGCTCAGTTGCCCTGCCTTCTCCCCTCTTATCCTCTCTCTAAGCCCAAGGCCTGTTTCTGGATCTTTCTATTGAATGTCCAAGAGCCTGTGCTCACATCTGTCATCCTAGCTACTCAGGAGGCTTAGATCTGAATATGGTTTGAACCCAGCCTGGGCAAGAAAATGTATGAGACTCTCATCTCCAATGAAAACCCTGCCCCCCCAAAAAATGGTAGTGCAGGTATGTCAAATGGTAGAGCACCAACCTTGAGCAAAATAGCTAAGGGACAATGTCCAGGCCCTAAGTTCAAGCCCTTGTAATTGGTTCCCCCCCCCTTCCAAAATGTACAAGATCAGCTCTTCAGCTCAAGGTGAGTGCTCTACCACTTGAGCCACAGTACCACTTCTTATTTTCTAACTGGTTTATTGGAAATAAGAATCTCACAGACTTTTCTTCCTGGGCTGGCTTTGAACTGCGATCCTCAGATCTCAGCCTCCTGAGTAGCTAGGATTACAGGCATGAGCCACCAGCACCAACTCTTGAATGGGAATCTTTTATGTGTAGGGTTGACCTGTCTAGGTTCCTTGAGACCCCCACAGAGACACTTCAGAAGTGTCTCCATGCAATATAGAGAAATGAATGTCTTGATTCCAAAGTGCTCCTTGGGAGGAATAGTGAGATGTGAACTACAGAAAAGCTCAGAAAGTCATAGCCAGGCAACTGTGGCTCATGCCTATAATCTTAGCTATTCATGAGACTGAGATCTGAGGATCACAGTTCAAAGCTAGCAGCAAAGTCCAAATTCTGAGAGACTCTTATCTCTAATTAACTACCAAAAAAGCTGGAAGGAAATAGAGCTGTGGCTCAAGTGGTAGAACACCAGCCTTGGACAAAAAAGCTAAGAGGGAATACCCAGGGTCCTGAATTGAAGCTCCAGTACTAGCGTGTGTGTACATGTATGTGTGCGCGTGCACACACACAAATTTATTAATAAGTGGAAAAAAATAAGAAAGTAAGTCTCCTGCCAAAGGGGGGACCAAGGAGAACTAACCAACAAATCCCAAGAAAGAACTTATCTACTTTTTGTGTGGGGTAAGTAAAACTTCTCCAACACGGGTAGGCCCTGAAGGAAACTCAGACAGAAAATAGTTTCCTGGATTAACAGAAGGAGGACGTTTAGGAATTTTTTGAGTCGCTTTGGAATGTACATTTCCTGACCCTAACCTTTCACATGACACCTGGGGTGGTGGTGTAAGCTGAAGTCAAACATCTGTGCCCCAAGCCAGGCCTCTGGCTCTTTTCTTTGTGTTACCTCTGTCCGGTTCACTGGTGACTCCCAGAGCAGTTCCAACAACCTTATCAGACCAACAGCAAATGGCAGAAATTTCCATCTCTGCTCTGGTGTTCAATGTTAGTATTGTGACGAGTGCTGGTGGCTCATGCTTGTCATCCTAGCTACTTAGGAGTCTGAGATATGTGGATCATGGTTCAAAGCCAGCCTAGGCAAGAAAATCTGTGAGACTCTCTATTTCTAATGAACCACCAAAAAGCTGGAAGTGGAGGTATGGTTTAAGTGTTACAGTACCAGCTTTAAGTGAAAAAGCTAAGGGACAGTGCGTGGGCCCTGAGTTTATGTCCCAGTGCTGATGCACATGTGCACCCTCCCCCCCCCCACACACATTCCACTGCTCGAGTCCATCCAAATTCCTGCAGCAGGTAAAGCAGTGCCAAGTTCACATAAGAGCAGGGTGACCCTGTGGCCCTGGAGTGGCCCTAAGCCATATGCTGGGTCACTGAAAAGAGGGAAGGAAATTAGGAATAGATTATAAAGGACACCTGACACGTCTCTTCGCTTTGCATTTCAAATTGTTGGTTATTTTTGTTGTGTTAATACTGGAGCTCGAACTCAGGGCCTGGGTGCTATCCTTTAGCTTTTCTGTTCAAGGTTTGTGATCTAGCACTTTAGCCACGATTAATTGAAGGTTAAGAGTTCCAGACTTTTCTGCCCCGGCTGGCCTCCAGCTGTGATCCTCAAATCTTAGCTTCCTGAGTAGCTAGGAAGTCACTGGCCCCTGGCTTCTAGTAGTTCTGATGTTTTGGGGTTTTTTTTTTTTTTTTTGCGTATGTGCCAATTTTGGGCCTTGAACTCAGAGCCTATGCACACTTTTCCAGTTTTGGAGTGGTTAATTGGAGATAAAAGTTTCTTATTAACTTTCCTTCCTGGCTGGCTTTGAACAGTGATCCTCAGATCTCAACCTTCTAAGTAACTAGGATTATGTGTGACCCACCAGCACCCAGCTATACTACAGATCTTATATGTCTGCAAAATAGGCAGAGAAGAAATGAGCTTCACTGGGCATGTAAGAAAAGGTAGGGATCTCAGATCACGGAGACAGTCATGTTTGTGCCACACTGGGGTGGAATGCCCTGGTGTTGGAGTCTTCAAGCTAGTCATGGGAAGAACAGACCATATATCCAGCCAGAAGAGCCAGGTCTGGCTGATCCTTTTCTCCTTCCACCAGGGCCAGCCTTCTGGTGTGGGGGCCAGGGGACATTGAGTCAGCCACACACCTAGACTGGGTCCCACTAGCTTTCAGCACAACTTTGCCATGGTGGTAGTTTCAGCTTACGTCCATTGTCCACCTACCTTGCCTGGCATTCCTGAACTCCTCTCTGGGCTGGGCTGAGCAGCCCATGAGGTCTCCTGTTACAGGTTAGGCCCCTGGATTCCTATTTGTAAAAGCCTAAGCACAGGTTTACTTCCTGCCAGCCCTGTCCTAGGAATGTAGGTAGGGCCAGTATGAGGTGACCCAGAGGTCCTGGCTGCAGGAGGGGGTGACGCAGTGGTTTCTGGAGTCTGAACCTGTGTTGGGAGCAAGCCATATTTAGGTATCAGATGGGGGCCTCTGACCCTGAGGAATTCACTGACATTGTCCCAAAAGAAGAGACAACCCCCCTTTCCCCCAGAGGGCGGGAGGTGATGAAGGCTACTTAGGAGGGAAGGATAGAGAGAATGGGAAGGGTTAGGGACCAGGAAGGGCCCAGTGAAGCAAGGTGAACATAGTGGAGCAGAGTGAGTGCAGTTGGTACAGTAAACAGGTCTGTTGAAAGAGAGGTCAAAATTGGACGGGTAAATCAGAGTTGAGGAGGTGGTTGGTGATTGTCTTAGAAAAGGAAAATCATTAGCCAGGTGCCAGTGGCTTATGTCTGTCATCCTAGCTACTCAGGAGGCTGAGATCTGAGGATCATAGTTTGAAGCCAACCCAGACAGGAAAGTCCATGAGACTTTTATCTCCAATGAACCAGCAAAAAGGCAAAATGAAGTTGTGGCTCAAATATTAGAGCTCCAACCTTGAGTGAAAAAACTAAGGGACAACATGCAGACCCTGAGTTCAACCCCCAATACTGGCACAGAAAAACACACACACACACAAAACAACAACAGGAAAGGAAAGGAAAGGCATGGTCAGAATTATCTTTATGGGGGTTCGAGTTGTGGCTTAATACCAGCCAATGAGCAAAATGTCAGGTACTAAATTAGAGTCCCAATCTCAGACCAAAAAAAAAAAAAACCCCAAAAAAACAAACCAACAAAAAACAACAGTGGAGGGGCTGGGAAGGTGGCTCAGTGGTAGAGCACTTGCCTTGCATGCATGAGGCCCTGGGTTCGATTCCTCAGCTCCACATAAGCAAAAAGAAAAAAGCTGCAAGTGGTGCTGTGGCTCAAGTGGTAGAGCGCTAGCCTTGAGCTGAAGAGCTGAGGGACAGCACCCAGGCCCAGAG